GTAGTAGTAGTAGTAGTAGTAGTAGTAGTAGTAGTAGTAGTAGTAGTAGTAGTAGTAGTAGTAGTAGTAGTAGTAGTAGTAGTAGTAGTAGTAGTAGTAGTAGTAGTAGTAGTAGTAGTAGTAGTAGTAGTAGTAGTAGTAGTAGTAGTAGTAGTAGTAGTAGTAGTAGTAGTAGTAGTAGTAGTAGTAGTAGTAGTAGTAGTAGTGGTAGTGGTAGTGGTAGTAGTTCTAGTAGTAGTAGGACTCATAGTAGTGCGAGTAGATATGGTAGTAGGCGTAAGAGTAGTTGTAGGTGTAGTAGTACGAGATGATGGAGCCAAACGAGTATGAATACTACTGGTAGTAAAAGTAGTACGAATCGTAGGAGAAGAAGTAGTAGTAGATGTCTTTTTCGAAGCCGCTCGGAGGCCTCTTGGGGCGTCTTCGGCGCCTCTTGGGGCCTCTTGGGCACCTCTTGGGGGTATCTTAGGGGCCTGATGGAGGCCTCGTGGCGCGTCCTGGGGACCTCCTGTGGGCCATCTGGGGACCTCTTGGGGCCATCTGGTGGACCTCTGGGGGCCCTCTTGGGGGGCTTGTATGAGCGCTGCCCCTCCTCCTGGTGTGACTCGTTCGGGCTCCTCGTGGTGTGAGTCGTTCGAGGCCCGCGTCGTGGTGTGAGTCGTTCGGGCTCCTCGTGGTGTGAGTAGGTCGGGCGCTTCGTCCTGGTATGATTCGTTCGGGCCCCTCCTTGTGGTGTGAGTCGTTCGGGCTCTTCGTGGTGTGAGTCGTTCGGGCCCCTCGTCCTGGTGTGAGTCGTTCGGGCTCCTCGTGGGGCCTCTTGGGAGCCTCTTGGAGGCCTCTTGGGGCCTCTTGGGGGCCTCTTGGGGGCCTCTTGGGGGCCTCTTGGGAGCCTCTTGGGGGCTCTGGGGGCCTCGTGGGGGCCTCTTGGGGGCCTGTTGGGGGCCTCTGGGGGCCTCGTGGGGGCCTCTTGGTGGCCTCTTGGGGGCCTCCTGGAGGCCTCTTGGGGGCATCTTGGGGCCTCTTGGGGGCCTCGTGCGACCTCCTCAGAATCGCAAATGAGCGCTACCCCCTGAGAAGGACAAAATGAGCCCAAAACCCTTGTAACATCAATGATTTTGCTATGAAGGAAGATGAGCGCGGCCCCCTCGGGAGGCCAAAATGGGGCCAAAACCCGCGTAAAAGCAAGGATTTTGGCTTCACAGAAGAGGAGGGGGCTACAAGAGCGCCCCCCCGTCGGGGCCAGAATCCTCGTGAGGGTCGTCGTTTTTTGGCCCTCCCAGGCGTCGAAAAAGACCCCCCTGACCACCCGCGGGACTCACTGTCCAGGCCCAGGGGGAGGGGGTAGGGGGAGGGGTAAACCCCTCCCCGAAGGGGAAGAAGGGGGGTTGGGGGGTTCAGGACAGAGGGGGCTCTCTAAACCACTCACGCCCAAAGGGCTGGTGGGATTCGGGTCTTCGGGTGGGGTTGGGGTGGTCTGGTAGGTAGTCAGAACGCGAGGCGCCGAGGAGCGAGGGGGGGAGAGGGACGGAGGACGAGAGGAGCCGAGGAGCGAGATGGGGGAGTGTTCGACCTCACCGCGGATCTCCCGGAGAGCGGCGCCGAGCCCCCACGGCGCCGCCCCCCGCGCGCCCCGCGCGCCGGGGAGGGGGGGCCCCCAGCGCGGTGCCGCCCAGCGTTCGCGCAGAGCTCCGAGAAGTCCGCGCGCAGCTTGCAAGTCGGGCCTGTCCCTCTACAGGGGGATGTTCGACGACAGATAGAAATACCCCCAAAATAATCAAAAAGTGTTCAAAAAATAGCCTGGGGACTATTTTTGGAGTATTTTTTGACCTCTTCGGGGTATTTTGGGGTATTTCTCATTTGTCGTAGAAAATGCCTTGTAGGGGGACACGCCCGACATAAGCGTAGCTTGCAAGTCGGGCCTGTCCCTCTACAGGGGGAATGTTCAAAGATGGTCAAAGTTCTTCTGCTTCGAGCGATCTTCACCGAAGCCTTCGGCGTTTGGTCCCAACGACGCGCGCGCCCACTGGAAGGGCGTGCGCAGTGCCTGGCGGCGTCGGCCAGAGCAGCGGCCAGGCCAGGTCGCAAGTTGATGTTGTCCGAATTCTGACAACCCGAAGGCCCCTGACGAGGACAACACCAAAACCAAAACGTTTGTTGCGATACACCAAAACTTGTTCTGAGAATGGTATCAACCTCCAGTAAGGAAGAGGAGGAACAGCAGCAGCACCACAAGGAGGAGACGGACGGCGAAGGACGAGGAGGAGGAGGAGGAAAAAGGAGGTGAGGCGGACCTCTCCTTCCTCCTCCTGTTCCTCTTCATCGTCCTCGTTCCTCCCCCTCCTCATCCTCCTCCTCCCTTCCCTCCTCCTCGCCCTGTTGTTCGTCCTCTTCCCTCATCATGCGCCTCGCCCCCCCTCCCCTCTTCCCCCTTGCCCTCGTCCTCTTCGCTCTCCTGATCATGCGCGGGGCGCGCGGCGGCCCCGGGCGGAACCCCTCGACACGTGGGCATCCGACATCCATGGGTGCACGTTGGTTCATATCCTTCACCATATGGTTGGAGATGCTATGGTATGATCTGCGCTGCGGCACTGTACTATTGCTTGACATGCTGAAAGATTATGTCATAGTGTGCTCAGTTCCCTGATGCTGTTGACGGGTCGGCTGAGCGCATTATGTTACGATCTGCTCTGCTAGTATGTATCGCACTGCTTTTGTGCCGTGGTATGAGATGCTGTGTGATGCGGTGTCATGACAAGATATGTCCTGTCATCGTGTGCTCTGTTCTGTTTGGCTATATTGTGCTATGTTGTGTTATGTCGTCTTCTGCCATCTCATGCTGTGCTCTGGTATATTATGTTACGTTTGGTTTGTGGACGGTTCGGCACAGTATACTATATCCGTAAAGGTTTCGCCCAATGCCGCCGGCCCCCTTCACCGGATAATGGGATATGCAAAAGATTAATCATGAGGGCTGGGCGCCGCCGTGAAGCAGTGTCGGGACCTGTTTGGTTTTCGGCCCTGGCTCCGCCGATTTGCGTGAGGGGCGCAAACGGATTCCAGGAACGTTGCAAATCCAATTTGTTTTTGGACCTTGACCCCGCCGATTTCGTGAGGGTGTGTTGCCGAATTTCGGACATGTGGTAAATCTATCGTGTTTTTGTTGGACCCTGACCACGCCGATCTGCGTGAGGGGTGCCGCCGATTTGCAGAAATATTGCAAGTCCCTTGTGGTTTTGGACCCTGACCCCGCCGATCTGCGTGAGTGGTGCCAAAGATTTTTATGTGTATTATATATATATATATATATATATAATGTGGCAAATCTTCTGTGTTTTTGGAGCTTGGCTCTGTCGATCCGCGCTGTTGAGAACCCCCCCGCGCTGTTGAGAATCCCCCTGGTTTTCGGACCATGACCCCGCCGATCTGCGTGAGGGGTGCCAGTGAATTTCAGAAATGTTGTAATTCGATCGTGTTTTTGGACCCTGGCCCCGCCGACCTGCGTGAGGGGTGCCAGTCAGACATGTGGCAAATCACGTGTGCGTTCGGACCCTGACCCCGCCGATCTGCATGAGGGGTGCCACCGAATGTCAAACATGTGACACATCCGCATTGTTTTTGAACCTTGATTCCGCCGATATGCGTGAGGGGTGCCCGCAAATTTCAGAAATCAGGTACATCTGTTTTGCTTTTGGACCCTGACCCTGCCGATCTGCGTGAGGGGTACCACCGAATGTCAGACATGTGGCACATCCACTGTGGTTTTGGACCCTGACCCCGCCTATCTGCGTGAGTTGTGTGAATTTTAGGCACCCCAGCAATTCAGAGCACACGCTCAGGGCGTGCTGAACCTGTCCGTTTGGGCCTCCCCCCCCTCGCGCGGTCCATCAATAAGGAGCAGTAAGCAGCAAGAGGCTGAATTGTAACAGTGGAAGCTGGAAGGTGCAGCTGGCACAGGGAACTGCGAACCTTCACCCTGCAGCCTGGTGGCCCCGCAAGGGGGCCGGCGGATTATGACCCGCTATGCTAGCATGTGGCGGTATGGTACACCGTCGTGTTATGATATGTTATGCGATGGTGTGCCATGGTCTGGGATGCTATGCAAATGTGTTTTATGTTTTCTTTTGTTGTGGTATGGTATGTTGTCTTCCGTCGCCTTCTGTTAACCGTGCTATGATACGATGTGTTATGCGATGGCATATCATTTTTTGGTCATGATATTACTGCGATGTGGACTGTCATGTTATGGCGTGTTCGTGTTGCGTTTTGTATTTTCTGGTGTGCCATGTTGTGTGTTTGGCGTGTTCGGCGCTATGCTTTGCTGCCGTCTTATAATATGTGTCGTGACGTTGTGCCATGCTATGAAATAGGTGGTCGATGTGTCATATGCTATGATCGGTTATGCTATGTTCTGTCGTGCTATGTCGTTTTATGCTCTGTCATGCTCAGCTTTGGTATGCTCTGTGATATGTTGGCGCCCTCTATTTATTCATACGATCGATATGTTATGTACTGCCATGTTCTGTCATGCTCTTGCTCAGTTCTGTCATGTTCCGTTGTGTTATATTGTGTTTTGTCGTGTTTGTCGAGGGCGCGAAACGGGGGATAGCCGGGATTCTCGGGACAACTTGGGGCCTGGCGGCCGCGGTATGCAGGGTGTGTTTTGTCTTGTTTGCCGAGGGCGCGAAGCGAGATTACTGGGACCGGGGCAACTTGGGGTCTGGTGGTCGCGGTATGCAGGGTGTGTTCGGTCGTGTTTGTCGAGGGCGCGAGGCGGGATAACCGGGCATTTTCGGGACAACTTGGGGTCTGGCGGCCGCGGTATGCAGGGTGGGAGTGGCCGGGGGGAAGGTAGTCTGGGGACGATGTTTGGACTATGCTTGAGCATCTGGGGCGTTTCTTTCAATTTTCATACAAAATCCGCCTGCACGGGGACATGCCCGACCGAAGCGTAGCTCCAGGAGGCCCGTGTATTTCCAGAAGCACGAGCGGTCGCGCCCCAGGCGTACCAGCTGTATTTCGAGTGGTGCGACGACACGACCAAGCAGCAGCAGTACGAGATCAAGACGGCGGGCCCGGAAGGGTCGCCGCTCTGAGCCCGAGGTGCTCGGCCTCCTTCGGTTTTTTTCCCTAGGTGCCCTCGTCGCCACGGCGGGACCCAGTCGGTATGATCGGGCAGGACATGATTTTTTCGATGGAGCGGAATTCGTGGATCGGCGTTTGGGCCCCCCTGGCGGCGTCTCCAGCGCCGCCCTTGGCGCGCTCCGCGCGCCATGTAGGGTGGTCCAGCGCCGATCCAAGAAGGCCGCGCGAACATGAGAGACACGATCTAGAAGTAATTTCTTGACTTTCTTGTGCAAAGAATTGGGATGCAGGTGGACAGCAATGCTTGCCCTTCTTGAACAGGGCTCGCTTTCGGAGCCGCCGAGGGCGTTGCCCGCTTGAGACAGGAGGCTGCCCGCCCAACAGCGGCCGCTGTCGGTTTTGGAAACGCGTTGGCTGTCGGGCGCCGTGCCCATATTGTCCGTATCCATATCGGGCGTGCCAATGATGTGCTCGGGCTTTTTCGGGCCTCCCAGGGCGCCTGGTTGCTCGCCACTGCTCGACTCGGGCCGAAGCCCTGGTCAGAACACCCCTGAACCCCTGCATAGGTCCATGGCCCGATCTTTGAGGGGAGGCTGCGACATCGACATCGTCGTCGTCGTGGTCGTCGCCTTCGCCGTCGTCTTCGTTTCGGAGGTTTTTATGGGTGGTGGGTCAGTGAGGAGTCGGTCTGACCGCACGGTTCTGGGACTTGAGGGGTTCCACACTTTGAGGAGGAAGACTTTCCGTGAAAAAACCGGGTGGGACCGCCGGGAGGGGCACTTCAATTGAAAAATACAATGTGCACCAGAGGTGGGATCAAGAATTCTTATTCTGCAATGATGGGAGTTCAAGAACAACAGCAAAAATCATTTCAAGACTGTTCGCCCAATGACGCGTATTTCCCAAACCCCCGACCCTCTTCGTCTTCGACCGAACCCCTTTTGGGGGGTATACCTTTCTTCCCTGCAGGCCGGGCCCCGGCAAGCGGCGGGGCGGCCGCGGACCGTCGGCCTGGCCAGCGGCAACGCTGATCGGCGGGGCGGCCGCGGACCGTCGACCCGACCCCAAGAGCGACGGACAGGGGACCGACCACGACGACGACGACGACGACGTCGACGACGACGGCGACGACGACGGCGACGACGACGACGAGCGAAAGCGAGAGAGAACGACAGCAGGGCCATAAGGACACGAAGTAGGCCACGAAGGGCGACAGCGGGGACACGAAGGTAATGCGTATAGGGGCCACGAAGAGCGCGAACGAGCGGGGTCCACGAAGGGCATACGTATGCTGGGCCGCGGAGGGCAAGCGCGGGGCCACTGAGGGCAGCAACGGGCCACGAAGGGCAGCGAGGGGGCCACGAAGGGCGACAGCGGGACCACGAAGGGTATGCGCATGGGGCCACGACGGGCGCGAACGATCGGGGGCCACGAAGGGCAGATCATTCGGGGCCACAGGAGGCAACGACGGGGCCACTGAAGGTAGCAACTGGGCCACGTAGGACAGTGAGGGGGCCACAAACGGCGACAGCGGGGCCACGAAGGGAATGCACATGGGACCACAACGGGCGCGAACGAACGGGGGCCACGAAGGGCATACGTATGCTGGGCCGCGGAAGGCAAGCACGGGGCCACTGAGGGCAGCAACGGGGCCACGAAGGGCAGCGAGGGGGGCCACGAAGGGCGACAGCGGGGCCACGAAGGGTATGCATATGGGGCCACCGCGGGCGCGAACGAGCGGGGGCAACGAAAGGCATACATATATGGGGCCACGAAAAGCAGCGAGGGGGCGGCCGCGAAGGGCTGCAACGAGGCCACGAAGGGCTGCGACGGGGCCACAAAGGGCAGCGAGGGGGGCACGAAGGGCTAGAACGGGGCCACGAAACAAACCGAGGGGGCCACGAAGAGCTGCAACGGGGCCACGAAGGATAGCGAGGAGGCCACGAGGGGCTGCAACAGGGCCGCGAAGGGCAGCGAGGGGGCCACGAAGGGCTGCAACGGGGCCACGAAACAAAGCGATGGGGCCACGAAGGGCTGCAACGGGGGCGCGAAGGGCAGCGAGATCCCGATTCTGGTAATCTGTGAGGGAATCCTAAACGTGAGCGCGACTCCTGGGTGCCTGGGTGTCGGGAGCGCGGCGCTGGAATAAATTACAAGAGTTTCCACCGCAAGGACGCTATTCTTCAGTAAGTTGCAAGCAAGTCTCCAGCGAAAGCGCGACTCCAGAGCGCTGGGAGAGCGATTCCTGAATACAGTGCAAGGAAGTCCCAAGCGAGAGCGCGATTCCTGAATAACGTGCAAGGAAGTCTCGGGCGGGAACGGGCGTCCTGGCTAAATTGTGAGGATGTCGCAAGCGGGAGCAGTTGTTGTTGTAACCTGGGGGGCCAACGAGACGGTTTGACCCTCAAGACTTTCCCTGATACAAAAAAACAGGGTGCGAGCCCCAGGAAGGGCACTTCAATCGAGAAAAAATATTGTGCACTGGAAAGGGGGGATCAACAAAAACATTATTCAGAAATGATTTTTCAACAACAACAATAACAACACCACCACCACCACCAACAACAACAACAACAAGCATGCTCAGACTGTTCCATCCGATCTGGCCGCGTGCCATTCTACACGTCAGAGTGAGGGTGCCGAACGGTCATTCATTGTCCTTGGGTGCGTGGCTGAAGTGGGGATCCGGGGTGGAAGTCACACGCGAGAGCGAGATTGGGAATACATTGCCAGGCAGCACCAGGCGGGAGCCGTTCTTGTGGTAACTCGTGGGGACAGGTGCTCATTTTGGTGACACCTCACCCTTACTGGTATAAAAACAGGGCGCGAGCGTTGAGAGGAGCACATTACGTGAACATGCACTGGTCACTGGAGCGGGGGTCAACAATAACCATTGTTTTTAGAAGTGTAAAAGCCAACAACAGGAACAACACCAGCAACAACAACAACACCACTCATTTTAAGAATGGTCGCTCCGATCAAATCGCGTGCCATTCAACGCGTTTTTGCCAAACCCCCGGTACCCGCCCTATTCAGATTCGATCGTCCGCCCTTGGGGATATACCTTTCTTACCTGCAACGTGTAGTTGGCGCTGCCCATCAGACAACGGAAGAAGGGGCGGATGGACGGGGAAGGGAGAAGGATGGAGCACGCGAGAGAGTTGCAGGAGGGGGCAAGAGCAAAACAACACGTGGTAGAAACAAACAGTCAGATCGGGAGGGCAGACCCATAGCGTGCGGGTCGGGAAGGCGGGCCCAGGTAGCCAGGTCGAGCAGGCGGGTTGCTGAAGCGTGAGGCCCGCATGAGAATCGCGAGGAAATCTCAAGCGATAACGCGATTCCCAAGTAAACCGCGAAACAAGCCAGCGCGAATGCGTGATTCCTGTGTGTCGACGGCACAGCGCCGGAATAAAGTGTGAAGAAATCCAACGCGAGAGCGCGGTTCCTGTTTTTTGAAGTCCTTATGAAGAAGTACCAGGCGGGAGCCGTTGCTGTTGCAGTTCGGGGGGGAATTATATCCTGGTACGGCTCGACTCCTCGGCGCCATCGTTTCTGGCTCGCTCTGTTTCTGAGCCGTCGCAGGCACCGCGCCGCCACCGTTGCGATATTTGTTGCGATGTTGTTTGGTTCGTCACGCACAGCTCGCGCCACCCCCCGAGGATCCGTCGTCGGCGATGGTCGCTCGTCTTGGCCCAGGTGTTCGCATGGCCGCGTTATTTCTTGAAAGATCACATACGTTCAGCTGGTCGTTTTTCCAGGGCGCCCCTGGCGCCTCGGGCCTGCCAAGAAGTCCCGAAGCCGTGCGGTGACGGAAGGGAGCGGTGAGGCTTCTATTATCGGGGTCTCTCCGGGGTCACCGCGCGGCTTTCCACCGCACAAGTGCGGGCCGTCCATCTGTGGACGCGCGAGGGAGGAGGGGCGGCGAGCGAGTGGGGGAAATGAGAAGCAGCAGGCCTTCTCAGAAGGCGGCGGGACTTCTCAGAGGCCCTCGCGCCCTCTCAGAAGTTTGTTGTGCCTGCGGGGAAGGCTTCGAAAACTGCTCAGGAGGCCCGGGACTTCCGAACCTGCTGAGATGGCCTTCTCCTTCTCACTTCGCTTGCCACTGAGAGGAGGGGCGGGGGGGCCCGCAGCGGCGGTGGGCCCGAGACAGCCGCCCCTGGGGCCCGTAAGCCGCGAGGCCGTCACGACGTGGTCGTCGTCGTCGTGGTCGTGGTCGTCGTCGTGGTCGTCGTCATCTTGGTCGTCGTCGCCGACGTCGGTGAGCTCGGAGGAGGCAGCGCGGTGGGGAGTCGCTACAGTTCAATGGGGGCTGCAACATGGAGAGCCCCGTTTCCGTGCAGCATTGGCGCGCTCCGGCGCTGAGTCCAGCGGCGTTGCCGCCGTATGGTGGGCGGGCGGAACCTTTTTCCAGATCCGTGGGCCTTGCGCCCACTCGGCAGATTCATGGGCCTCATCCGTGTGAGCGTGACGTCGGGCCTGTCCCTCTGAAGGGGGAGCATTCTGAAGAAGGTAAAACATAGTTTGGGTGGGGACGGATGTTGGAATCTGTTTGAGTATTCGAGCCCGTTTCTGTATTGCTTGGGGCATGACGGGCGTCGTGGCCCCGCTCCCCCCCCCCAAATGACGTAACGCTCCCCCCCCCAGTGCGCTCGAGGCTTTGCCGCCGTGCGTTTTGGGATCCGCGTGGGTGTCCGCGTAGGGATCCGCATAGGAGTCTGGTCCGCAGTCGTCGTCGTCGTCGTCGTCGCTCGTGGCTTGTCGCTCGTCGTTCATAGTCGTCGTGCGCGCGGACGCGGCTGAAGCCTGTTTGTCATTCCGGGCCGATGACGGCAATCATCTAGGGGGGTGGGTGGAGGGGGTCGATGTCGTCACGTTTCGCGCCGGCGGCGTTTGGGAATGCTTAGGAAGAGCGGAGGACGGGTAGCGCCAGCATGTAGGTGGCGATTTGCACCACAACGCCTGTATACACTACAGTGCCTGCGTG